TATGTGAGGGTGTGTGTGTGTGTGTAATAGGCCTATATTAAATATTAAACTATTGAACTATTGCTGATATTAAATTCATAATTTAACATCTAAAGTAGGCCTATCAGACAAATGATAAGACTACGAAATCTTCTCCAAAAACTGCAGTGTAGTCACATAAATCAAGAGAAGAGCTTAGCTCAGTCGGCTAAACTGATGGAGGTACAGTGTGTGCACTGAACCGTAGAGATCAAGTCCATGGTTCAACTCCCTTGGTCTCCTGAAATGCAAGTTACGATAGTGCACCGTCTTTTTCGAATGAGCCGTTAAGCCGTTGGTCCCGTGGGCAATACGGCCCATGTGCACTTTAAAGAACGCACTCTCTGCAGAAAAGAGTAGGGGATTGTCTCCCGGCGTACTGCCCAATTCACGACTCGAAAGAACCACACAGAAATTACGTCGCCTTCTATACTTTCGTGTGTTATCCTTGGTGTTTACACCGAATAAATCCATCCATCCGTCATCTCTATCAACAATTCTTTCTGGGAATGACAGGTGGTTGGAATCCTTCATTGCTTCAGTCCATCTCCTCACAGAAGCAAAACTGAAAACCTTATAGTTACCGTTAAAAAATACTCAGAATTGAAATGGAGCAAATTACAAACAATCGGTGTTTGGAAAGCAATGGATTTTAAATAGATAAGATTGTAATCTCTAAAAACGACGAAATAACGGTGTAGGCTTACCATACTCTGCGAAATATTTCTAATGCATTTGATACACAACTGTATGTTCAAATAGTTTGATTCGGCCAACTAAAGTACATTACTATTAGTCCTTTAGTATTTCACTGATAATTTCCAGTAACCCAGAGTACTTTCTAAGCTTTCATACGGTCTAATAAAGTGGCTTTACCGCGATATTACGTTTTAATTAATTTACAGCCATCATCATATTTAACCTCTTTAAAAAATTCCTGATATAAATTTTTGGATTGGCTATTGTTTATCTGAAGGTGGATTCACTCAATGAACGTGCCTTTGCAACAGGAACGTTTCGAGTTCCGCATCTGATTCATGATAATTATATCTTATACAATACACCGGTATTTGATATAGGCCTAAATAAAATATTTGGCGGATTGTATAATATTTATTCTTAAAGATAAACAAATCTAGTGTATATATGATAAATAAAAGGTGTTGCTGCGATATTTTGTTTCATAGAAGAATATAAGAAATGACAATAACCAAAGGATCTGATTATTCGCAAAAATGGAGTATGAGTATGGTGACTCCGAAGAATAGGAGACGTGAAGCCATAACTGATTCTACGTTTCGTTCTTTATAGAACATTTTCAAGAGTGAAAAAATGGACAAATCTCAGCACTTTAAAGATTAATTATGATAGTTAGCTCTATGCTTTCGTTCACACAGTGGACTTCATCCGGATGAAGTCCATTGTGTGGGCGAAAGCTGGAGTTAATAGGTAGTTTTCGCCGCACGGCGTCGTTAACCTTAACGGATGACGTCATAATTTATTCATCTTGCGTTGCGGAGTACGTTAATTTCAGCGTTTTACGTGCTCTACGTACGTTAGTTACGGGTTTGCGCATGCGTATTTCGATTTGTTTACAAAAGAGGCGAGTTATCGTGTTTGCGCATGTTGGGTACTAACGTTAAAGTTAAGGTTAACGTTGGCGGCGAAAACTTTAAAGTGCTTAGATTTGTCATTTCACGTATATACAGTTAATGTACAATGCTATCTAGATGTAGCACTATCTACCTACATTAATCAAAATGTTACTTAACTGATTTCAATCATGAGTTGCATAGACACAAGAAAAAAAAAACACCTATGTGGATCCGTAAACTGAGCTGAAGCTCAATTATAAACCCGACAGATTACTCCAAGCGACTCACAACCATACACAAGTATAGAATAACATCCTCTTCATGATGATGATGATGATCATCATCATGATCATGATCATTATTTCATTTCATTCGTCTCAAAAGATAAACATGAGATGTGGAACACCTCAAAAGTTAACTACAGTAAATCACTGTCGAGTGATAGGCCTAACCATAGTTAATTTCTCATCAACCTTATTATCATTGCAGATTCAAACCACATGGGTGTATGCAAAGGGGGGTTCGGGCGGGTTCGGGAATGTCGTACGACCCACTCCCCCCCCCCTCCAAAAAAAAAAATAAAAAAAAATTCAAAGGTCCATATTTTTCCAGACATTTTTTCTAGGGCCTTTTCACAATGACATAAAACCTTACCAATTGCGTGACGTCAATTCCAGAAATATTGAAACTGAGCCTGCCATCCGCTTTAAGCAAATTGTATTGACATCTTATTCTGTTATTGCTGTTATTTCATTGTAAAACTGTCAAAAAAATTATGATCACGACCCACCCAGAAAAGAATCCTGGATACACCCCTGAATCATTCAGACGTGGTGTTTTTGTTTTAATTTTACGTTTATGTCCGAACTTCCGAGTCGAATCTGAACGAACGATTGAGTATACAGTCTTAAAAATGGCCAACAAGGCAAGCGACACGGTACCGTTAGCGCCCCAGCATATACTGGAAGTGGAGTGGGCGAGAGGCGGGGGTGGAGGTGATGATATGGTACAGATTGAGATGAATACAGTAATCTAAAACTAAACTGCTATAATACAAAAATGACTGATTCATGTTAGCACTTTCTACTCTACCAAATTTCTACCAAATTTTCTTTGACAAAAACTGCCTATAGCCGGCCCCCTATAGTCCGGGCGCGAATTCAATCTTTTTATAAGCTCCGTCTTCTTAATTGATAAAATAATTTTACCTGATTTACTGAAATTAATATTATTAATCAGAGGATGGACTTTAATTAATTATACATTTTAGTTTTTTCTCTATAGCCTTATCACATATGTCATAGATAGACGGAATGTCTGCGCCTATTACTTTCTTGAAGTTTTAAGAGAGTAAAACTTTCATTATTTTGAGGACGCATTTGACGCAGTTAATGTTTTAGTACTTTCAACCGAAAGGTCGTAAGTTCACTAGGGCAATTCACATTGCTTCGGTTTATGAAAAAATCGTCTGGTACTGAATTACCTTCTCAGACGAATATATTTCCGTTATTCTACCTCTCCCCATGTCAATACTACGCCACTAGATACAGTGAGCTACAATTTCAAGTTCAATTTATTGTCATATACAAAGTAAATGAAATTTTTTTCCCAAGGTTCACAATAAAAACAACGCCATACTAAAATAGAATTACAAAGATACGATATAAAATAAGTTAGCCTATGCGTAAAATGATATAAAACATTATAAATATAAAAACCTGTCTCTTATACACATCTAGATGTGTATAAGAGACAGGTATAATATTTATTCTTAAAGATAAACAAATCTAGTGTATATATGATAAATAAAAGGTGTTGCTGCGATATTTTGTTTCATAGAAGAATATAAGAAATGACAATAACCAAAGGATCTGATTATTCGCAAAAATGGAGTATGAGTATGGTGACTCCGAAGAATAGGAGACGTGAAGCCATAACTGATTCTACGTTTCGTTCTTTATAGAACATTTTCAAGAGTGAAAAAATGGACAAATCTCAGCACTTTAAAGATTAATTATGATAGTTAGCTCTATGCTTTCGTTCACACAGTGGACTTCATCCGGATGAAGTCCATTGTGTGGGCGAAAGCTAGAGTTAATAGGTAGTTTTCGCCGCACGACGTCGTTAACCTTAACGGATGAAGTCATAATTTATTCATCTTGCGTTGCGGAGTACGTTAATTTCAGGGTTTTACGTGCTCTACGTACGTTAGTTACGGGTTTGCGCATGCGTATTTCGATTTGTTTACAAAAGAGGCGAGTTATCGTGTTTGCGCATGTTGGGTACTAACGTTAAAGTTAAGGTTAACGTTGGCGGCGAAAACTTTAAAGTGCTTAGATTTGTCATTTCACGTATATACAGTTAATGTACAATGCTATCTAGATGTAGCACTATCTACCTACATTAATCAAAATGTTACTTAACTGATTTCAATCATGAGTTGCATAGACACAAGAAAAAAAAAACACCTATGTGGATCCGTAAACTGAGCTGAAGCTCAATTATAAACCCGACAGATTACTCCAAGCGACTCACAACCATACACAAGTATAGAATAACATCCTCTTCATGATGATGATGATGATCATCATCATGATCATGATCATTATTTCATTTCATTCGTCTCAAAAGATAAACATGGTCCGACATAAATTTTTTCTATGTTAGCCCACCCATTTTCTTTTATTGTGGTGGATTTGAAATAGAATGGCTGGGGCTGATGTAAAATAAAAATAATTATGGCACCTTTAGATGGTCAGAAATGGCACTCTGAGACTTAAATTTGAATATAATTTTATTTTCTTCTCCATTTTATTTTAGAATTTTGAAAAAAAAATTGAAATTATCCTACCACAAAAATATCCACTTATCAGTGGTTGTGGTTGAGGTGAACAAATTGTTACCTCTAGATTTCTGAAAATGGCATTTTCAAAAATTAGTTTTCAAAGGAGTGTTTTCAACAGCATACATGCCCCCGATGCCTGCTGGCGCCGAATGGTAGACATCGCATCATATCAGCGCCCGATTTATTCCATTATTGCACACAGAAGAAATGATTTGTTATGACGCTCAGTCTTCTTAATTGATAAAATAATTTTACCTGATTTACTGAAATTAATAATTAATCAGAGGATGGACTTTAATTAATTATACATTTTAGTTTTTTCTCTATAGCCTTATCACATATGTCACAGATAGACGGAATGTCTGCGCCTATTACTTTGTTGAAGTTTTAAGAGCGTAAAACTTTCATTATTTTGAGGACGCATTTGACGCAGTTAATGCTTTAGTACTTTCAACCGAAAGGTCGTAAGTTCGAACACGAGGGTAATTCACATTGCTTTGGTTTATGAAAAAAATCGTCTGTACTGAATTACCTGCACAGACGAATATATTTCCATTAGTCTACCTCTCCCCCATGTCAATACTACGCCACTAGATACAGTGAGCTACAAGTTCAAGTTCAATTTATTGTCATATACAAAGTAAATGAAATTTGTTTTCCCAGGTTCACAATAAAAACAACGCCATACTAAAATACAATTACAAAGATACGATATAAAATAAGTTAACCTATGCGTAAAATGATATAAAACATAAATATGAAAACCGATAAAATTGCAAAAATTGCATTATAGTCGAGTAAAAATATATAAAAGTGCAGTACAATTACATACTAGTAAGTCGGGCAGTCAATTGTCAATGTTGTTGTTTCATCTAAGTAATATTGCAGCGTTCAATTCATAACAATGTTACAGGATTTTCTCTTAAGAGCAAGAACAACACTGCACTCCGTAATCCTCATTATAAGACTAAATTTAATTAGAGCATCTTTTGTGTTTTAATTTGTCTAAGAGGTTAGATTAATGGTCGTGAAATGATCTAACACATCTTTGCATTTATTTCAATAGTGATTTTAATGTACAGAATAGAAATGATATTGTATCAACTTTTGCTGCTAAGTTTAATCTCAGTTGCTGGATCAGCGTTCAATCTGACTATACTCCACACAAATGATGTTCATGCTCGATTGGAACAGCACGACAAACACGGAGGAATCTGCGACGAAGCCGAAGCTCTCAAAAACGAGTGCTTTGGCGGCGTGGCCCGACGCATGACCAAAATACGCGAGATCCGAGAAGTCGCGGACGTTTTGCTGTTGGACGCAGGTGATCAATTCCAGGGAACCTTGTGGTTTTTGTACTATTGGGGGATGGCAGCGGCATATTTCATGACCAGTCTTGGATATGATGCGATGGTAAGTTAGTTCCTTTTACTTCCTAGTTTTATTGGATTGGATTGGATTTATTCGGTGTAAACACCAAGGATAGCCCACGAAAGTCTAAAAGAAGACTTATTTCCAGTGGAGTCCTTGGATAGTACACCGGGAGACAATCCCCTACTCTTTTCCGAAGAGTGTACTGTGTTCTTTAACGTGCACATGGGCCATAAATGCACACGGGACCAACGGCTTAAACGTCTCATCCGAAAGACGGTGCGCTATTTTAACTTGTATTTCAGCCCTCTAGCTGAAACACGGAGAGGCAGCGATGGGAATTGAACCGGGGACCTAGAGATCTCCACGGTTCAGCGCACACACAGTGGCTACCACCAGGTTAGCCGACTGAGCTAAGCTGCTCTCTCATATACTTTGATATCCGAACAGTGCTGCAACACTGAACAGATGTCTTGCGGATGTACAGTAATATTTTTTCTTGACTATTGCGTTACTATCACAGGCCGTCGGAAATCACGAGTTTGATAACTCTCCAGATGGCCTAGAACCTTTTGTAAGAAATGTGTCCTTCCCACTACTCAGTGCCAACATGGATGCCTCTGAGGAACCAGTATTAGATGGTCTTATCAATAAGTCTGCGGTTCTCACTGTGCGAGACGAACGCATTGGCGTTGTTGGTTACACATACTACGACACAGATATAATATCTAAAACACGTAAGCTGATAATAATTACTTTACCTTTATAAAATTAAATTAGAAAATGTTTATATAAATGTCTTAAAGAGCACAAAGAACGAAATGTTTACGCCAAATCATTGATATGCCTGGGTTTTTTTGCCAATAATATTTATCATAATCTCATAATACAATAATTATAATTTACGTAATAACAGGAGACGTACATTTTAGCGCCGAGGTACCTGCTGTACAGAAGGAAGTGGATAGGCTGAAGAGGTTAGGAATCAACAAAATAATAGCAGTCGGTCATTCAGGACTACCAATCGATAAGAAGATTGCGAATGAAGTCAAAGGAGTAGATGTCGTCATCGGCGGTCATTCAAATTCATTTCTCTACGACGGTAAATCCTCATTATGTTTGAGTGGCTCCCTCACTGTACAAAATGTTCACCTTTTAAATGATTTTAAAATTCTAAATTAATAAATGTTTTACCTCAAGACCTTTCTCTCTTTCTGTTCCGCTTAAGAGAACATTCATTTGAAGATCGCAATACATTTAGTATTATACTAGTGTATCCTTCTTAGTGGTTTTATCTTTTCCATTGTAAAGCACGTATTTTCAGCCCCTGGCAGTGTTCTTGTCGCTCTTATACTGAAATAAATAATAAAATTACTGTGTATTTAGATAATCTATTCAAAATGAAGCCTCCATAATATAACAATATATCAGTACGATATAAAACTTTAATATTATCTTATCAAATTTATTATTAGGCCATATGTGTATTATGCACCTTTCGGTAGAGCATATTATACAATAAAAAAATTACTTGATTTTTTATTCATCTTTTTTTGCTTTGTTTTGTTTATGGACATTAGCGTGTCATTTGCTAATTCAGAGTGAAAATATACCGTAAATCCTCAAATAGAAGCAATGGGCTTCTTTCGAGATTATTTTTAAAATTAAAGAGGGGGACTTCTTTTCGAGATGGGCTTCTTCCCGAGATTAATCCCAATGGGCTGTTTATGTTTTACGGTCGTATAATTAAATTAGACAAGTTTATGTTGCTGATGAATAATAATATACTATTATGAACCAAGATTATCATTTCTTACTGTAGGGGATCCGCCTTCAACAGAGAAAGTCGATGGGCCATATCCGATAGTAATAAACCCGTCTCATAGTCCCAATTCAAATGTGCTTGTAGTGCAGGACTACACCTTCGGCAAGTACCTTGGATATCTGAATGTTGTGTTTGACAGTGAAGGTGAAATAACATCATGGACAGGCAATCCAATTCTGTTGGACCACACAGTCGCACAAGGTAGAGTCCTGACCAGAATATCAAATCTTGACAAAAACATGTGACTTTCCTAAATATGGTCATGATGACATCACATCATGACCATATATAGGTACACCATGACTCTAAGCTATATGGGCATACAACAGTTTTTTGATAGTGTAGAAGAGCTTATGGAAAATTAAATCGATGTACAGTTGATTGTTAATAATAATTGATAAAATTTACTTCCAAATGAAACTACAGAGTGAACAAGATCACAATATAACATACTTTCCATTAAAGGATTAATTAAATAATACAAGTTTATATACTTCCATCAATTAAAACTAAGAGAATAACTGAAATTATTGAACGCAACAGCGCAACAAACCTTGAGCAAAAATATTACATGTAAACAGCAATTTTGTTAGTCGAATTGAGAAATTACAATGAGACTAGCTTCTAAAACTAAACAAAAAAGTGCTGAGTGAAACGGAGTGTTAGCATTGCTATAATGTACAACACATAAAAAGTCTGTATTGTATACTGTACTATAGATTCAACAATATTATCTGAGATTGAGAAATGGGCTGAACCAGTAAAAGATCAAATCGGAAAGGTAGTCGGCCGCACGAATGTCTTCCTCCAGGGTGATAGGAATGTTTGTCGGAAGTCTGAATGTAATCTTGGGAATCTAGTCACCGAAGCATTTGTCGCCATGAACCTGGTGGAACCGGATGAACTACGTTGGAGCCGAGTTGGGATCGCACTGTGGAACGGTGGAGGCATAAGACAATCTGTCCCTGTCGGTGAGAAAAACAAAATTGGATTGGTAATGTGAAGTGATGATGGTGCAAGGGGTTGACCCTGCAAGTTTGGAATCCTACATTACAAGGGAATGTTCTCTGTCACCTTATCTAGATTTTTCCTTTCATTTGTAATCTGAGCTTTATCCCCTCCCTTGTCATTTATTTTAAGAATGTTAGCCCCAGGAAGCTTTCAAAATGCTTTCCTTTTTATTATGCTGTAATGTTTATCGAATAAATGTGATTTTATATACTGAAAAGACCTTGGGTACCTTTTAATTTGACATGGAAGCATCGGGGAGATCTTCGCATCTCATTATCACCGGGCTATTAATACAACTGTTATTGGAAATGCAAAAGCATTATATTTCTGATGGTGACTACACAGCATATTCATTCTGTTTCTTGCAAATAAATTATCTAGCCTTATACTTACTCAAACAGGTTAAGGTCAAAGAGGTTAACGAAATCACCTCTGTCGATATTTTGCATGATTACTATTCGAATGAAATATTAAAGAGTACGTGTTTTCAATTTGATATCATCAATCACATTTCAAACAGACAAAAGTACAATTATATAAACCAGCAATCAGCGCGCTAGCATCATTTAATTGCTAATGCTACCCGTTAGCCGATATTAATTCGGCAATAGAACCATTTCCTTCATAATCGAGTTTAATAGAGGTAATTACGGACCTACTAGCCAGAAGCTACCTTGTGAAATATTCATTATCGGCGTAATTATGTATAATGCTATGAAGACGAGTTGGATTTGTACATAATAATGAATTCAATTTGATAAAAGCAGTCGACTTTTTAACCTTTTTGTCGGAGTATTTTATTGAGTCCAGACCTAGGAAATGAAGTTCATATTACTCATCACACGACAAATAAAATAAATATGCATTCTGCATGTAGGCCTATATCAAATTTGAAAATATAGCATGTGGGACTAGCGTACTCCAACATTGTTTAATAAAGATCAAACAACGCATTATTAATTGTATAGGATAGAGCTCACGTCTTATCACAATTCTCCTAGGTTCAAATCGTACAGCAACACACACTGCAGAATGAATCATTCAGCTAAATCCCGCCCTTTGATATTATTACTAAGGCTCCCACATACAACAGCGTAATATTGTCCTGTTTTGATTGGTCAATTGGCAGGTTTGATTGACACTGCAGAAAGGTTTATTGTTTCCAAGTTTCACCCATACGTTTTAAAATGGTTACATATGATAAAGCACCAGAAAGAAGTGAAATGGATTCACAATGTACCACCACAATAATGCAACAATGGGTAACAACAGCAAGCGCATACCGTACTAGTCCTGGAAATTGCACTAAATCCCATCGATATGTATTTTTTAAAATGTTGATTCGTTGTTGTAAATTATAACGAAATATTATAATGTTTATATACTCATCTGTATCCACAGGTCGTATTACAATCGGCGATTTGAACATGGTGTTACCGTTTGGCAACACAGTTGATATCGTTGAGATTAAAGGAAAATACATTCGCGAAGCACTTGAATTCTCGGTGTACAAGTACGGCACGGACAATTTGGGAGGAGAGTTCCTACAAATGACAGGTAGGTACTACAGGTCTCCCTCGAAAGACCCCTCCAATTAAAGACCACTTCCTGTTGTCCGCCCATATTAACAAATGTATTTTATCTTTATTATTCTAATTAGAGACCAACGGTGCTAAGAAACCATAGAAACCCGGTCCCGAAAGTCTGTTTAATTGGAGGGAACCTTTATTTTGCAATAATAATATACATTTTAGAATCATATGTACTGTACAAACGGATTTTTAAGACAAAGAATGTGTTTGACGAAATAATCGGGAACGGCTTATATACATATCATTCTATATTCAACATCTGGGGAAAATGGCGTGTAGAGCACATCCTTCGCCCTAGTTACCAACCGTCAAATTAAGTATTCCCTTAATCCTCTTTAAACCTATTTATACAGCCTGTGTCATACCAATAAATAATACAATATAACACCAGGGAGGTGTAAATAACACTATAAGTTAAATATTTGAATTACTAGCTGGTATATGTAGGCCTGTTATAGATTTAATATAAAAACTAGAAATTATTTCCTTCGTCTAATTAACATATGCCTAAATGACATTTTATAAAATTTTTTACTGCATTATTATTCATATTTTGCATATAAATTATTTCTCCATATAATCACTAGTATTTTATTGCTATAAAATATTAGTTTTTATTAATATGAAGTATGAAATATGTAAAATATATATTTGTGTTATAGATTTGTAATTATTTTCATTAAGGCTTACATGTAACATATGATGTTACAAAACAACCAGGTAGTAGAGTTGTTGATGTGGAGGCCGTTTGCACAGAATGCACAGTTCCAGAATACAAACCACTCGTAGATGACGAGATATACAATATTATAGTAAGCGATTACATAGCAAACGGCGGCGATGGTTACTCGATGATTAGTGATAACAAACTGTCATATGTCACAGGTAATTTGGATTCTCATAAAGATTTTACTAGGTTAACATAACTGGTTATGCTACGATATCCAGGAGCAAATTGAGTTTCAGTATGTCTTTGCATTTACTGTACTTTTCTATTTTTTATACAAACATTTAATATTATTTTAAATTACATGGCACATATAATGCAGTTTTAATCTTTCCATTATTTGATGCATCTTGCACCTACCTTAGTTCTATTTTTTTTTTCAAACACTAATGGGTTACGAATCTATCCTCATATCCGTCTATTTGTGTCTGTGATTATTTTTTGATTATTTTTCTTTTTATTTCCTAAATGTTTTACCACTTTTTCATATGAGAATTTATTTTTTTATTGGGCTTGGGCAGTATAGTTTGCTGTGAGAGATGTGTATAAGAGACAGGGCTTCTTCCCGAGATTAATCCCAATGGGCTGTTTAGGTTTTACGGTCGTATAATTAAATTAGACAAGTTTATGTTGCTGATGAATAATAATATACTATTATGAACCAAGATTATCATTTCTTACTATAGGGGATCCGCCTTCAACAGAGAAAGTCGATGGGCCGTATCCGATAGTAATAAACCCGTCTCATAGTCCCAATTCAAATGTACTTGTAGTGCAAGACTACACCTTCGGCAAGTACCTTGGATATCTGAATGTTGTGTTTGACAGTGAAGGTGAAATAACATCATGGACAGGCAATCCAATTCTGTTGGACCACACAGTCGCACAAGGTAAAGCCCTGACCAGAATATCAAATCTTGAGAAAAACATGTGACTTTCCTAAATATGGTCATGATGACATCACATCATGACCATATAGATACTCGATGACTCTATATGGGCGTACAACAGTTTTTTGATAGTGTAGAAGAGCTATGGAAAATTAAATCGATGTACAGTTGATTGTTAATAATAATAATTGATAAAATTTACTTCCAAATGAAACTACAGAGTGAACAAGATCACAATTAATATAACATAATTTCCTTTAAAGGATTAACTAAATAATACAAGTTTATATACTTCCATCAATTAAAACTAAGAGAATAACTGAAATTATTGAACCAACAGTGCAACAAACCTTGGGAAAAAATATTACATGTAAACAGCAATTTTGTTAGTCGAATTGAGAAATTACAATGAGACTAGCTTCTAAAACTAAACAAAAAAGTGCTGAGTGTGAAACGGAGTGTTAGCATTGCTATAATGTACAACACATAAAAAGTCTGTATTGTATACTGTACTATAGATTCAACAATATTATCTGAGATTGAGAAATGGGCCGAACCAGTAAAAGATCAAATCGGAAAGGTAGTCGGCCGCACGAATGTCTTCCTCCAGGGTGATAGGAATGTTTGTCGGAAGTCTGAATGTAATCTTGGGAATCTAGTCACCGAAGCATTTGTCGCCATGAACCTGGTGGAACCGGATGAACTACGTTGGAGCCGAGTTGGGATCGCACTGTGGAACGGTGGAGGCATAAGACAATCTGTCCCTGTCGGTGAGAAAAACAAAATTGGATTGGTAATGTGAAGTGATGATGGGACAATTTTAATGTTGCTTAATATATTTATTTGTTGAAAATAGTACAAAATCCTAACAGTTTCTAATATTGTCAGTACTTCTCCAGATTTGAAACACATCTTTCACACGAGTCATATTGCTATATTTACTGGCTTGACCATAGTATGCCCCTGATAGCCAAGACAGAAAATATAAAACATATGTGCCTGATTGGCTTTGGAAAAAAAAAAAATTAATCTCAAGAAGCTAGCTTGAGCTGGTGAAGGCTCATGTCTAAAATAATTGTTTAAAACAATGTCCTTTACTTGTTTGGTAGATGCCCTATGAAATTTGATTTTTGATATTATGCTTCCACCACCTCGCGAAAAGCCGCTTTGTTTTAGTGCTACACGTTGTATCTCTTCTTTTTATTAGGTCACAATTGAATTCAGTACAAATGTATCATGAAAACAGTATCGTAGTCAATGTTCACTCTTAATTTAAGGATACGATCGCTGCTCATATTGTTGCATAATATATTTTATCTTCAATGACGAGGGGAAAACAATGTATCCCTTAACAAAATAAAATAGAAGATGAAAATGATTAAATATTGTTGTTCAAATTGAATATAGGCCTATTCTATGTCTTTGTCGTACACAATGTGTACTTATTCTATCCCTAATACAATGTGGGGTAGGGATCCAGCTAGCATCACGTACTATTTCAGTTTATTTTAACGTTTTTCTGCAGGGCCCTGCATGGCCGATTTTTATTTCCACAGGGACCATGAGCCGTCCCCTGTGACAATAAATTTCAATTACTATCCCGGGGTCCAGTAAGAATTATGAATTGCTTGCTTTAATCCGTGAGAGCTGAAAGGTAGGCCCATTACACAACTGCAGTGGCGGATTCAAAGGAGGCGAGCCGGCCCGGGCCCCACTAAATTTGTCAAAATTAGAAAAATAAAGTTGAGAAAAAAGGAAAATTATAACATTTAGGTCTGAGAGTACATTTCCGGCCATCTGGATGTGCCATAATCATAAATTTTCTTACTGGTCTGGTCACCGGTCGCATCCGTGAATGTCCTTCCGGGTTCCCTCTATTTAAATTTCTGGATCCGCCACAGCACTGTATAGGCCTATATTATGTAAATATTTTACGATTCTAAATATATCTACGATTGGGTGTGCATTGTGGTAATGAATTGCCATACATTGCGATATAAAAGTCTCAGTATGTATGAATTTGTAAATTCATGTGTTATGTTTGTGCTAGTGTTGTTTCATAGGCCTAGTATTTATATGTATCAAGAACATTTCCGAGAGGAACTTACAGATAGAGATCTAACACACCGATTGTTAAAAGTCAATTCGGTAAATATAATTTAAGTGGTTTAAATAAATTTTATGTATAATATATTATTTTAGTTTATTGCTGCTTCAATATTCATTTAATAATTTTGGAGAATGTCTGCAGGGCATCACATATCACCATGAGAAGCTATCAAAGCATATTTAGATCCGGGTTTGAATTTTATCTTAACAAAGCCACCATTATCCTCAGTAAGGTACACCCACTTGTTACCTGAAAAAGAATAGAAACAAACTGCATTTCTTAGTTGTAAAACTTACTAGTAGTCTACTATCTATATAAGTTTAAAACAAATTGCAGTATCATCACCATCGACAACGACTAAAAACAAAACAAAACAAAACAAAACAGCTACAACAACAATCATATTATGAATAATCTTAATGTAGCCCTACTTCTTACCGATGTAAATTTCAACTTCATTCATCTTGAATGCATTCTTAACATCATTAAGTCTCAAATAACATCCTGATTCGAGTATGAACGATTTAGAAATCCATTTTGATTGATTGTACCATTCAAAACTAACCAAAGCTGTAGCCGTATTTAAGAAAAAAATAATGGTTAATGGTTAATGGTTATTAATTTATAGAGCGCAAAATACAAAAAGTCTCTAAGCGCTATCAGGCAAGTGTAAAGATGGAACGGAAACCAAAACCACAAAATAAAAAGAAGTGAAAATAATTATAAAGATTAAAATAGAATCGTTAATTATACATTTTTAAAGGTTTCTCAGCATAGCCAAGAGGCTTCACTCTAGAGTCGTTCCCACATCTGATGAAGGAGACTTTGAAGGCTTCTGTGGCTGAAGCCTTTCACATGTCTGATGAAGAAGGCTTGAAGTCTCTGATAATCGTTAATGTCTTAGTCATTTTTCTCCCACTCCTCAATTTCATTTTTTGGCCTGCAATGTCTAATTTTTGAAATGATTTGAAAAAAAAAAGTGTGGAAATGCTCAGGACAAAACATCTTCATTTAAGACATGTACTTCTATAATTCCCTTCATCAATCTTAAATTCATATATTTTTTTTCTGTATCCCTATCCTTCTGAAACACTTTCGTTGAAGACCAATCAGCTCCAACAGTTTCAATCAATTTTCTTTAAAAAAAAAAAGAAGGTGGAAATGCTCAAGACAAAACATCTTCTTTTAAGACATTTCTAAAATTCCCTTCATCTATCTTAAATTCATATATTTTTTTTGTCTCCATATGCTTCCGAAACACTTTCTTTGAAGTCCAATAATCTCCAACGGTTTCAACAAATTTTCTTACACCTAAAAAGTAGCCCTCCTCCAGTCGTCCCCCACCCCCAACTGATAATGTTCAAAGAAAAAAAAATCACACTCGATAAATATCACCTCATATCACAATATTTTGGAAGTTAGCGCCCTCACATTATCACCCGTGGCGTAGCTACGAGAATTGAAATGAGGGTGGGGGAGGGGTGGCCGATAGGGGCGCGAAGGTAAAAAGGGGAGTTTAATATTAAGGTGATGGGGTGAAAGCTTGCAAAATGGGGTGATTTGAGATGTTTTTAAATTTTAACTACTTGAGTGTGGGGGGGGGGGGGGGGAGGAAGAAAGGGGATCGATAAGGGTAAGCGCAAGAATATTTCGGGGCACATCGGTGCACCCCAAGGATAGACGACTGTTAATCATCGAGCCCCTTCCCCTACCTATTTCAAGACTCCTAAATACGCCTTTCTTATACTCAACGTCTAACCTGTATTTTCCTAATTGCTCTCCCATACTCCACAAAATACTTATAAAAAAATGTCTTACGGAGATCAGTTGCAAGGGGATAATTGTTAGATTCACACTGCACTCCAACATCTTTCTGAGGAGGAATTTCTTGAATATCAAATTTAGTCAATTCCTTCGCAAGGATTTCATCCGCAATATTCATCTCTTCAATAATGTTCTTGGTGTTGCCTGCTTCAAGTTTATTTGGAAGATTTTTTTGTGTAAGTAGATGTAAAGATTGTTAGTCAGAGCTACAGTGTTTTTTTTATAGTGGTAGATGCAAACATAAGTCAGAGGAAGGAAACTCCGCACCCGTCCTAAAAATCGTAACATGCATACAAGCGACTGTTCCATTCAGAAGAAAGGTAGACCTAACTTTTTTCATATCTTGGTTATAAAACGAATAATGAATTTCCTATAGTGTAATAGGAAGAAGATCTTTATTCGTTGAAATATTAAGGGTTCCATTCAGCTCTTGAAAACGTTATTTCCCTTGCACTCACAAACGTTAATTATTTGTATAACATTTACCCTGCGTTATATACTAGTTTATGTATACATAAACTAGTATATAACACAGGGAACATTTTTTTCCCATCGGATGCACCTTGCCTTGATTCGAGTGTTTCAAAGACTATCGGGTTTATCAATATGGTTTACTGCTGCTCACAAATGGTAATACAATTAAACATACCTTATATCGGTATAGATTTTGTACATTTCAAGCAGAGTTAAAAAATGCAATGAAATTGACCTATCTGCCAAGCAAGCCCATTATATTATTGTTAAGGTCCTAACATTATGACAGCAAAGAATTATGCACAAACATACATGAAAATTAGTGTTTATGGGACATGTGCGTATTTCTTCTCTGATTGGTCAGTTTATTGACCCTGCATAAGAGGTCCATTTCATGAGGCTATGACATGGCAACTCAGTGCGCACGGAATCGCTTTAAATGACGATACGCTCAGAACTAACTCCACCGTTATTGGTCGACGGAGTGGTTTTTAATTTTTTGCCAAATCAAATCAATTAATAAATCAACTGATAATATCTACTTGTAATAATCATGATATTTATTTTCTTTTACCAGGCAACTAGGAAGCCACAATGTTGAGAGTATGTACAGAAAATAGGTGTTGTGAGTACACCCGTAGACAGACGTATACAATCAATTTAACTGAATCCTGTACACAAAATCAGCCAGTGCAGTTGAGCCACTTTTTTATGATTATTTAAATATTGCCATATATTTTTATTTATTCGAGATTATACCAAACCCAATAATTTTATGATAATTTCAGTACACTACTTCATAACACATAGGCCTAAATCACTTATCTCACATCGGTCAGATTGTTATATAAACAACCCTTAACCTGGACTATAACAGTATGAACAACAATGAAAATAATTTGCCAATTTTGGTTCTTTATTGTGCTTCTTTATCCTTTGAATATGTTTCTTCTCGTCATTGATGTTCATATTCAGAATAAGTAAAATTATGCCCCTATACCAAGAGAGTAAAAACAACTCTGCCTAATTGGTCTAAAAAAATCTTTTATTGATAGTCTCAAAACAAATTTATACAATTACACAACTTTACATGTTTACACAGAATTTGAAAAGCAGAAAAGGTCACATGAAGAAGTAGATTGAGCTGGTGAAAGCCAGGGGCGGATTTAGAGGGGCCGGGTCGGCCCCGGTTTCTTAAAAAAAATCTTTTATTGATAGTCTCAAAACAAATTTATACACATTACACAACTTTACACGTTTACACAGAATTTGAAAAGCAGAAAAGGTCACAGGAATAAGTAGATTGAGCTGGTGAAAGCCAGGGGCGGATTTAGAGGGGCCGGGTCGGCCCCGGTTCCCGTTTAAGAAGTTAAAAAAAAAAAAAAAAAAGACAAAAGAAAAAAAGAAAAAGGAAAAACTGATCGCCCAAAACGCTTTAGAGGTTATTTTCGGGCGTCTAGAAAACAAACATTTCGCGGGGCATGCCCTCGGACCCCTTAGGGTGGTGTTATCTCGATCGATCCCACACTTTCGGTTCCATTTTCGGCCCCGGCTTTCAGACATCTCTGTTTTGGCCCCTGAAAACTCCTGTTTAAAATAATTTTTGAAGAACGGTCTCGTCAGGGACATCATCTCCTTTCCTTGTTTGATCGATGACAATAAAGTATTCTTGAAGGTATGCTACTAAACGTCTCGCGAAAAGGCCGCTTTGTTTTAGTTAAAACTCTTTTCATTGTGTCAAAATTTAATTTAGCACAAATGTGTATGAAAACAGAAGCCAAGGTTAACCCTCAAGAGAGGATATGATTACTGCTCATTTTGTAGCATAATTAATTCTATCTTCAATGAAGAGAGGAAAATATATCCTTTAAAAAATGTAATAAAAAAAAAGAAATATTGTTCAAATTGATTATCATCTTTGTCAAACACCATGTGTACTTATTCTTTTCTTATCAATACATCAATTATTGTAGCATTAGTAGGTCAGTGGTTAAAAAAGTGCTGAATCCCTGGCAAAGGCTTATTCTGGCCCTAATACTATGTGGGGTACGAGTCGATCAAGCTAGCTTCATCTGTTCTGATGTATTTTAACGTTTTCATATAAAAGTCAATTCATTCAACAAGTGTGCACAAAGGTTGGTGGAGGGGGTTGTCTGACGAGAGATGAGTTGAATATGCTATAGGTCACATGCAGTTCTTTCCATGATCTTCTAGATCGAATGATCACGAATGACCAAAGCTTGACAGGAAGCTGAACCAGTCGAAAGAAAAAGCAAATACATTTATTCTGCACTTGTCACGAATAAATATGGATTGCTGGCCCCCAATAAATTTTGAAAATAATATGTAAAAAGAACACAATATATATATATATATATTTATTTCAATAAATTTTGAAA